CGCCCGCCGTGTCCCCCGCAAAGCCGCGGCCTCGCCCCTAAGCACTTTACCCCGCGGCGGCGCCTCCTCCCACTGCCCACGCCGGCGGGGCCCCTGGCTGGCGGGTTTTTACCACAGCTGAACCCCGTTTCTTACGTCGACAGGAGAAATGTGCGCCAGTTAGCGGTGTATGTTTTTTAATTTAATATTTAAATAAAATATTTGGGGAAACCTTGATTCCTCCCTGAGCTCTCTGTTGGGCTGCCACAGAGGAGGCCCCACTCCCCAGGTTTGGGGGTGCTCATCTTCGGCAGGCGGGCTGGAGCCCAGGCCTGAGTCTAGAGGGGCCCCGCACCCCTGCAGGCTGCCGCGGGGGCGGGGCCAGGAAGAGGCCGGGAGGGGAGGGCCTGGCCTGGGGCTGGGGGGCGGAGCCCTCGGGGGTCACCCTCGCTCTGGGCCACCACGGGCGCCCTTCTGCGGAGGTGGGGGGCAGCCCCGCCCCCTTGGGCAGCCTGGCCTCCCGCCGGCCCTCCCCTTGCGCCTGGGCACTGCAGCTGCCCGCGGGAAGGAAGGGCGGGAGGGCCCTCACCCGCCTGCCCAGCCAGCGAGTCCTGGGCCCCAGCACCCCTCTGGGCGGCCGAAGGCCCCTGCGTCCACACTCAGCCTCGGGTGGGCACCGCCCAGCGCCTCGGGGTGGCGGCCGCCCAGAGGAGGGCTCCCCGCCCACTGGGTCCCTCGGCCTGCTGGCCCCAGGGGACTCGCCTGCACGCGCCGGGCTGAGGTCCGGGGTGGGGGCGGGGGGCTGGGCGCAGTTGGGGTCACAGAAGGGGAGGCCGGCGCGGGGTGGGTTGGCGGTGTGCCAGCAGCCAGTGCCCGGGCCTGACACGGGCGGCCAGCGCCGAAATCCTCGCGCTCACCCCCACGGCAGGGGCAGAGCAGGGCTGCCCATGAGAGGGCGGCCGGAGCTGGGGGGGACGGGCGCCCCGGCGTCCCAGCCGCCGCCCCAGGGCGCTGGAGGCAGCTGGGGCCTTGCTGAGGGCGCCCCAGCCAGGGCCCCTCTCAGGGGCCTCAGCAGGCTGAGCTGACCGGGGTGCCCCGCTCCCCAGCAGCCTGCTCCTGGGGCTGCAGAAGCGCCCGGGGCCGCCGCCAGCC